CAAGTATTCTACGCAATGGTTTGCGTGCTAATTAACAACATACCTATTGGTTTTGTAAGTGCAGTCCATCAATATGACGTGAGAGAATAACCGCAAAAGTTTCAACGAAATAGGAGCAGCGAACATCAAATCAGTAAGTGTATCATCACCTTCATTACTTCGATACCAATATTCATATCCAGATTCTTGAAGGTTCGACATCACGTGTTGTATCACAGTCTTCCCCGCCATATTCTCTTTTTTCATCTTCTCAAGTTGGTTGTAGACATGTTTCACACTCGTTGATGTCTGTGGATTATCCTTTCTCAATCGATCCATAATTAATGCCGGCTTCACATGGCTCCTTCTAAGTAATTTCACTACCTCGTATTCTTCTGGTGTCAAACGACTATCCGGTCCTTGTCCGGTAGGATACGGTAGTGTCGGGTGAGTGTGAGTGCCACTTTTTAAATTCATTCGCCATAGTCCATCGTTTGAACTTTTGCTACAATATATACGAAAAGGACATCCACATTTTTTTGTTCCCACATTCCGTGGTATCGCACCTACGGTTCGTTTCTCACGTCCCTCCCCAGACAAATGACATCTAATTACTACATACACGTTTTTCTTGCTTGAAGTTACTATCAATCGATGACCATGAGTAGCAGCCATTTTTTTTGCCCATTCCACTAATTCTTTCCCAGTTTCAAACTCAAGATCTACATTGAAATGTTGACTGTGATCCTCAGAAGTTGTTGGTGTGTCTTGAGGAACATCGTAACACATGTCGGGATCCTCGTACTCGTTGTACGCTTTGTCACGATTAGTTGTAAACTCATCGTCAAAATCACCTTCAGTACCCTATTAAGATATAACAAGTAATAATTAGTATATAAGTAACAATATTAAAAAAAAAAAAAAAAAAAAAAAATTTATTACGGGTTCCCGTCCCGGCGGGCACGGTGGTGCAATGCTCCCGTGCCGTAGGGCACGGTGGTGCCCTACTCCCGTCCGCCAGGACACGGGAGACTCAAACCCCCGTTCTCTAAGGCACGGGAGCACGATGTTCCCGTGCTCCCCAAGACGGGGACCTGAAATTGTTATTTATTTTTTTTTTTTTTTTGATTCTCCCGTTCTGTACAGCACGGGAATCCCTAATTTTTGGGATTCTCGTGCTACACAGCACGGTAACCCGACGAAAAACAAAAAAAAAACGCAACTTTCTTCGATTTACCTCGTAAAACTCGTTGGAATCGGCCATAGTGTTATATGTTGTCGTCGGGCAGTCGATTCATCAAATAAACACGAAAATCTTAATTCTCGACTTTTTTTAGTTGAGAGCGTTTTCAGTTTTCTAAAAAGTTTGAAAAGTTGAAATGAAAAGGTACCGCTGCAAATAAGCCAATTTCAGTAAAAGTCCCGCTACAATTAGCATTTCAGAATTTCAAATAGCTTAATTATTCTTATCAATATTGGTAATTACTAATTAATCTAAAGAGTATGATTTAAGTCACATGGCCACTCTACTTTGGTCAATTTATGTGGGCATTACTTTTCTTGTGGGGCTTCTCTTTATTCTTTATGTTACTTTATTATTTCTTAAAAAAAAAAAAATAATACATTTCTCTTACAAAATAATCAATGGATAAGATTGAAATTTAAATATTTTGTACGCACCAGATTATATATCTTACGGTCCCTATACAACCACTCATGAACCAAACAACCTTTTTTATTTTTGTTTACTTCATACTTTTTTCGTAGTCTAAAAATTTATTATTTTATTGCAAAAATTCTTAATTTCATATTATTAATATTGATGGGCCTAGGTTTAACTATGCCTAATTACATACAAAAAATCATGAGCCCCATAAACGATATTGTCGTGCCACAATTTTTAGGCCCATGTAGTGTAGAGCAATTTCCCCCAATAATACAGGAGTCCTTATAATGGAAGATAAATAGTTAGAACTCGAAATTGAATGGATCCGATCGTAATCAAAACTTTCGAAAAGAACATGAAAACATTTTTTGTGAATGTTCAAATTGAATTCAATTTCATTTGAGTTTTTTTTGGAAAACTCTGAAATTAAATTTCGAAATTGTGAATGAAAAAAGCTCATTTTAAAATTGGAAAATTTGGAATCGGAATCAATGGAATTTAGGTGAAATAGATAATAATATTGATACTATGAGTGTAATTTTCAGAAATAAATCAGAAGTTTAAAAAATTGGAGTCGGATCGAAAATATGAACCTTGTTGCATTCGTATTCCAACCCAAAAGATTTCGGAAAGCAAATCATAAATCAGAAATTTGGAATTCCCTTTGAAAAATACTGTTAAAAAACTGAATTTTTTTGGATCATAATTAGAGGAACCCGTAATTTCCGTTCCAATTTTCCCGCCTATAAATATCTATCAATTCTCTTACAACTTTCTTAAATCCTCTATGGCTTCTTACTTAAATTTCCGTTATTCAACTGATTTGATTAGCAAAAAGACATTTGATCGATAAGATATGAAACTTGACTAGACGTAATAAAAAAAAAAAAAAAATGACAACATATTTTTATTATATTATAAGAGTTTATCATTACCGAGCTCCATTAAACCTTGTTCGAAATAGATTCAATTACTCCATCCGTTCCTAAATATGTGTCGTTTTTCACCTTGGTACAAATCTTAAGAATCTCAATAAATATGTCTTGATTTTAGAAAAATAGATATTGATGGACCAAAATACCCTTATTTATTAATTAATGCAGGAATAGTGTTATATAGTTAATAATGGTAAAATTGAAATATAAGCAATTAATGTAGCATTTGAATTGTAAAGTGACAGATAATATGGAACAAAAAAAAATTCTGAAAAGAGACAGATATTATGGAACAGGGGAGTACTAATCAAATCAAAACTTAATTTAATCTAAAAACATTAAATTCAATTGAGTTTCATCTAAATTTTCTTTTTTCTTATAAACGAATTGTCAACTATATACGTTCATTATATAAACACCGCTCTCGTATAATAATTGCTCGTATAATAATTTATAAACTACGCTAAAAATGTAAATTAGTTGGATAAATCCATTTTCACTTGAGAGGTGAGTTGGGGGGCGTAATTGTAATTTAATTTCTACTTTTAGAAAAGGAAAAAAGAAAAATCAATTCTTGATGATAGGACTTTCATCAAAACCACAATTGCTACATCTCCGATCTCTCTTTTAACTTCATGTCAAAATCCTCTGTCACAGAAGAATATTCAGTGAAGCAGACGGAGTGAATTTTTGCTAACGTACGCCGCTGGCGCACTATTCCGTACTACTACTGACCGTCTCGCTAGCGTGCGCCGTCGTCGCCCTACGTGCGCCGGTTGCGCAGCTCCACCACAGTCGGCGATCCCCTACCGCCGCATCCTGCGCCAGTTTATATAAGATCGACGGCGCCGCCTCGTCGGAGATCTACGCATCGGGGATGTCGAAAGCGCGGGTCTACGCTGACGTCAATGTTGTGCGCCCTAGGGAATACTGGGATTACGAGAATCTCATTGTCCAGTGGGGGTAAGTAATCAAACGAACAGTTATTGCACCTGATTTCGTCTGTTTGCCGCCCTAATTTCTAATTAATTGGGGATAACTCGTAATAAATGCTCAATTCGAGGAAATTTCATAGTTTCGTCATGTTTGATCCAGATTCCAGATTAGATTTTCCCTAATTTAATGTGGGTGGGTGGTTGGGTGTCGTGGGTGGGGTGGGGGGGGGGGGGATGATTTTGCTATCTATATTCAGAGAGTGAAGTATGGTGTCATACTTGGTGATTGAAGCTTTGTTCTTTGATTTTGAAAACTTTGAGCAGATATATATATATATATATATATATATATATATATATATATATATATATATATATATATATAACTTTATTTCTAAGCATAAGTTTCTATTTATATATGTACTCAGTGACCAGGATGACTATGAGGTTGTTCGCAAAGTCGGGAGGGGAAAATACAGTGAAGTTTTTGAAGGAATAAATGTGAACACCAACGAACGATGCATAATCAAGATTCTGAAGCCTGTTAAGAAGAAAAAGGTATTTTCTTCTCCTATTCAAATGACCCAGATAATCGTAGTTTACGAACTGTCGGTTCTTTCAACGGGCCTTGTTTCGTAGTTTACATTTTAGTTAATAAATCTCAAAGAGCTGTTATGAACTGTAGCCGATTAGTGTGCATTCCTATTGATAGCTCGTGATGAAAGCGCATAATTAAGAGCTGAAAATATTTTCTAATTTTTTTTTACCCGTCTTTCAGATAAAGAGAGAGATTAAGATACTGCAGAATTTATGTGGGGGACCGAATGTTGTCAAACTCCTGGACATCGTTAGGGATCAGCACTCGAAAACTCCAAGCTTGATATTTGAATTTGTCAACAGTACAGATTTCAAAGTTCTGTACCCTACCTTGACCGATTATGACATACGCTACTACATATACGAGCTTCTCAAGGTACGACGAAATTCCGTCGAAATATCATATCCATGCAAGTCAAATTTTCTTCCATATCCTTAATTGTTATATTAAAATGTTTTATTGTTCGAGAAGTGTTCATGAAAGAATTAAATTGTTGCAACTGTGTTGCGGCGACTGATTTCTATATAATTTTACGTAAATAAAAGAAATAGTTATATGCATGATTTAAATGTTGCGACTATCTTGTTACGGTGCAGGCATTGGATTACTGTCATTCACAGGGAATAATGCACAGAGATGTTAAGCCTCATAATGTAATGATAGACCACGAGTTACGAAAGCTTCGTTTGATCGATTGGGGTCTTGCTGAATTCTACCACCCGGGCAAGGAATATAATGTCCGGGTTGCTTCAAGGTAAAACACGAACTGTTTCTAAAGGCCTCGTTTGGTTTCTGAATATGAGATTTGCCTAAGTAAGGTTATGTTATCATGAGTTACGTAGAAACTTTCGATGCTGATTTAGTTACGGGATTATATACTTTCTCAAATCAGTTCATTCAATTTTGCATGCACGTATTTACGACGTTTATCTGCCGAATGTAATTAATATGGTTGTTCGAAACCTTTCAATTATTTACTCAGATATTTCAAGGGTCCAGAACTTCTTGTCGACTTGCAAGACTATGACTATTCTTTGGATATGTGGAGCCTTGGTTGCATGTTTGCCGGAATGGTGAGAGTTTATTTATTTATTATTTTTAATTATTTTTATTTTAACTAATGTCCGTTTTCATGTTTTCATTACGCTACTTTGTGTTCTTAATGCAGATATTTCGCAAAGAACCTTTCTTTTACGGGCATGATAACCAGGATCAACTTGTCAAAATTGCCAAGGTAAACATTTTGCTCTCGATGTGTTGTTCTGTTTCTCTAAATATTATGATGTTCGACTTTCTTTCTTTCTTTGGTTAGTTCTCTTATTCTCTAACATAATCATCACAAGGTTTTATAGATATTCAAGCTAACTCGATTAAAAAATTTACATTAAATTAAAATTTGCCGGTAATGCCTTTTCTCAAATATCTGATGTCAGAATATTCTTGCAGGTACTTGGGACTGACGAGTTGAATGCGTATTTACACAAATACCATTTGGAGCTCGACCCGCAACTTGAAGCTCTTGTTGGGAGGTATTGCTATGAATCCAATAACTCTAATGTCGAAAGGAAATTTAATCAATGGACTTCTGTAATATAACGCAATATTTGATGCATCAAATAGATAATTTTAATATAAACTTTTTCGTTCGACAGACACAGTAGGAAACCATGGTCGAAGTTTGTCAATGCAGACAATCAGCATCTTGTGTCTCCAGAGGTCATGCATACATTGGAGCTCCTACTTATTTCAGTCGAGTTTATTGCATTTAGTACCCCTGTATTATATCTAATTGCTAAATAAGCCCCATGTGTTATAAATATTAGCAAAACCCTCCCTATGATGCAACTTTTTTAGCATACAACCCCCTAAATGGTTAGTTTGCTAAAAAGATTGCATGAGACGGGGCTTTTTTTGCTAATATTTATAACACATGGAGTTTTCAAGCAATTAGACTAAACACAGAGGTGCTGAATGCAATAAAAATCCCTTCTTTTAAAAAACCTTCAAAATTTGTACTGTAAATTTTAATCTTCTTGTTTCGTTTGTAGCAGGCGATTGATTTCCTCGACAAACTGCTGCGTTACGATCACCAAGATAGGCTCACAGCAAGAGAAGCCATGGTAGGAATCTTCGTGACTTTTTTTTTTTTTTAGTATTATTAATTTTTTTTTTCTTCTGGGAACTAAACTACATAAATGGTTCCGTGTTGTTCGTAGGCTCACCCTTATTTCTTACAAGTCAGAGCTGCCGAAAGTAGCAGGACACGGGCCCAATAGCCCGGCAAATTGGCCCGTGAAACCATAGGGATTTTCTGTTGTGATGTTTAAGATTTTGGGCATTTGTGATTTGTGTAGAAGTTTGTTTTTGACATCAATAGTACATTACTACATTATTGCCTTTTTTGTTTCAAGGTTTCTAAGCTGCTTGATGTTTTTGTGGATTCAAAATCCAATCGTGTGCAGTTTATTTTATTACTGTTACATATTTTTATTTGTTTGTGTATTGGTAAAAAGTCGCTATACTATGGATAATCAACTTATCCAACCCATCAATTAAAATTTAGGTTACATTACGGCCGATCCCCTGAGGTAAGGTCAAGTTACGAAAATATTCATCGTGTTTGGGTAATTACAATCACTGCTAAATTCTGAATCTTTTTATACGTTCACCCTTGCAGTGTCAAATTTAGTTTAATTTTGTAGATTATGTGAAATATTTTTCAGTTTATACTCGTTTGCTCCCAATTCGAGTTTCATATTTCGAAACAAGATGATAATGAAATGTGTCTCTTGACTTGTAAGTATCAGATTGTGGTGCATCATTAAATGTATTTTTGCTAATACGAGAACAAACTAAAGAACATTCCACGGAATCTAATAAATTATGCTGAATTTAACACTAAAAGGCTGGACGTGTAAGAAGATTTATAAGTTGATGGGTAGTTTTAATTACCCAAACGAAGAGATTTTTTTTCCGTAATTTAACTTACCTTAGGGGTGGCCATAATTTACCATAAATTTTATTATACTTCTAAAAACAAATAAAAAATATTATACCTGAATGAAGTATTTATTGATATATTATCGTTCATTCATGTGTAGCGTGCAAGTTGGAACGGGATTCCCGAATTCAGGGTAAATTTTCTATTTTGGAACACATACCTTCATGCGGATATCTGATATTCCGATTTCCAATTTTTCCGAAATTATTTGAATTGAAATTGAGAATATATAATATTTTTTTTGGAAATTCTGATTTTTTTTCAACCAAAACTTGATACCAGAAAATAATTCCGATTTTCTTCAAAATATTTTATTAAATAAAATAATTATTTCTATATATCTCCACTAGATTCTTCCAAATATTTTCTGTTACAAAAAAAAAAAAAAAATCGAAAATAAGGCAAAAAGTTCGCGGCTAAGCAAAACAAACACAAAAAGAAACGTGGCCAAATTCATCAACAAGTCAAAGTAGTAAACACTGCGGATTCTGCCACGTCATCAGGCAGCCACCTTATTCGCTCTCCCATCAAAGTGGGTCCCACATCCTTCAAATTCAAAGTATTATTTTCATCAGAATTCTAATCTCTTTTGAATTCGTTTCTTTCGCCCTTTATATAATCGGCTTCCAATAATCCTCTGCGCCGTCGTCTCTGTCTTTCTCTCTCTTCTTTCCTTTCTCTCTCTTCTTCTTTCTCTCTCTTACCTTACTACGCACGCAAACATGAACGCAATGGACGGTGTAGTGATATTCATAATGTTCTACTCAATTCTGATGATTTCTCTTATTGACTGTATCGAATCTCTTCAAAAAAGGACAAAAACCGAATATCGCCTCCGCCGCAGAGTTGTCCTCCGCCGCTGCGTTGTCCGCCGCCGCCGAAGCAGTAAAGAGAGTACAATTGTGTCGCCGGCGGTTAGGGTGGTGGAATCAGCTGAAAAAAATCTCCTTAAAGAAGATGAAAAGATTGTCTGCGTCGAAAGGGATCCCGAAGGTCAAGAAATTACAGAGAATCTCAATAGGGAAGATTCTCGAGGATTAGATACACGTAGTTTGACTTATGGGGAATATTCTTGTGAAAAGTTGGGGGCTTTTGATCGAAAACCATATTTTTCGGGTATTGTTGCAAATAACGGGGATTATGTTCGTACGCAGAATTTGGTTATTGATCAAGAATCGCATTCTCGCGGTGGGTTTTCGGGTATTAGTGAAAACAATGTGGATGGTATTTGTGAAAATAGTGGGATTATTGATGATCAAGAATCCGATTCTTGCAGTGAGTGTTCGAGTATTTTTGAAAATAACGGGGACAAATCGGATTCTTGTAGTGAGTGTTCGAGTACTAGTGCAAACGATGTGGATGATATTTGTGAAACGAGTGGGATTATTGAGGATGATAATAATAGTAATGGTGAAGGGGAAGAGGAATTTGTTGATGATTGGGAGGGAATAGAAACGACCGAATTAGAAAAGATTTTTGGCGAAGCGTTGGTTTTCGCGAGTAGCAAAAGCAATTCCGATCGAATTGGAGATTTGAAGTTGCAGCTGTACGGGCTTCAAAAAGTTGCTCTTGATGGCCCTTGTCACGTATCTCCGCCTATGGCTTTCAAGATTTCGGCTCGATCAAAGTGGTAATGAACAATTTTTTCTTTTCTTTCAGTAAACGGTATATATGTAACTTGTTTGTCTTATCTATCTATCGATAGTGTAACATATAATATATAACTGCACGCACATTTATGTATGGTGAACGTAAGCAAAGAGAGTAGTTTAACAATTCACTCGGTACAGTATAGAATAAAACCACTAGTAATTTAATTACACGGTCATATATTCTCGTCGTGGCCTTTGCATATGTAGTAGTATGTAATCAATGCAATTTTTTTATGTAGAATGTCGTCGAGTTTATAATTTGTAAATATCAAGTTTTGAAAATCAATTTTTCTTTTGTTGACATTTTGTTATAATCACTATATATGTATATATTGATGAAAATTTCGTATAATACGACAGGAATGCTTGGCAGAAACTCGGTAGCATGAGCCGAGAAACAGCAATGGAGATGTACGTCGACGTCTTATCCAAGGCAATTCCCAATTGGAAGAAGGTAAATGTCAATTTCACTAGTTCAAACATTAAAAAAAAAAATTAATAATTAAAAAATCAAAGTTGTCTCTAATTATATTTATTATTATTATTTTGTTTTACATAATAAAAGAAATGGTGAATTTTACAGGGTGAAGATAATAACAATAAAACACTTACTATTGAAGATGAGAGTGGTTCGTCATCTTCAAATAGTACTGGTGAAGGTGCATTATTAGCAGAAAGTGTATCTGGAGCAGAATATGGACCAGTTACAGAGGATGAAGTAAGAGCTTTTTATTCAGAAAAGGCAGCACAACAAGAACAAGTGACAGCATTAGATCTTGTATTGAAATTCAAATCCAGGCTTATGTTGAGAAGTGAAAGATATGCTTTCTTAGCTATAATGGCTAGGATTTGTCAGCTACACATGACACCTGAGAGGAACTACGTCGTTTTGAAGGGGGTTTAATTATTTTCCTTCTCTAACTTGAGAATAAACACTTTTATTTACTTTTTTTTTTTTTTTGGTAATTGCCATTTGAAGATTAAGCTTAGAATAGTTAATAGCATAGTTTATGCTACTAAATTTCCTTTTATTTTATGTATTTATTTTTAGAATTTGTTACATCTCTCTCTAGTTTATTCAATTTAAAGCATGGTTATCGAATCGGAAAATACCGGCGTGTAGTTTTTCTCCGTGTATCGTATCGTTATCGTATCTTATGATATTTAACCAACCATTAAAAATAATTAAAATATATATATTTACATAATAGAAATACTATAAACATGTAAAATTTAATATTTTAAAGTCAATTCAAATTTGCATTATAAAATATGAAAAAAAATTTCATAGTTGCTCTTAAAATAACGTCAACAAAGTTTAAATTTGAATCCCTAATTTTTGAAAAACTAATCTATCACTTATAATTTCTAAAAGACTAATATATTACTCATAATTTCTAAAAGACTAATCTATAACTCATAAATTCGCACTTGAATGGCAGAAAAATAACAAGAATCTATACAAATTGAGTTATGGTTGCCATGTTGTGATATTTTTTGAAGAAATTGAAGTGAGAAAGGTGGATTAGGTTGTGAATTTGAAGGGTTATATTGAAATCCATTTTTCAGCCCTTAAACTGTGAATATTTCGTTTTTTTTGTTTTAAATATTTTGACTAACATTGTAATATCGTATGGTATCGTGATATGACGATACGATACGTTATCTCACGATATTTACCGATATTTAAACATAGCCGATAGAGAGTACGAGTCATATCGTTTTGATTGAGACCGTACCGTATCGCGATAAATATCGCGATATCTCGCGAGTTTAACTACCATGATTTAAAGCATGTTATTTTATTTATTAGAAAAATTACAGTTTTCATCCCTCAAATTTGCACCGATTCCACATTTGGTCTTTCATGTTCACAAAAAAATATATTTGGTCTTTCATGTTCCAATAATTTAACACTTTTATCCTTTTCGTCAATTTTCCGTTAGTGTGATAGTTAAGCCAGTGATGGATACACACTTGATTCTGTTAGTACTAACGAAAAATCAACGAAAATAACTAAAAGTGTTTAATGGTTAAAATATTAGGGACTAAATGTATTTTGTCCGAACATAGAAGACCAAATATGAAGTTAGTGCAAATTTGAAGAATGGAAACTGTATTTTCTCTTCTTTATTTGGACGTTTAATAGACCGGATTCTAACCGAACCGATCAAATACCCGATATCCGATCCGGAATTCCCTGGACCGTATTCAGGTAACCCGGAAATAATTTCCACAAAATAACCCGACCCGATTGGCCATCCCTAAACCCAAACGCAATTCCCAACTGTACTTCACTCCGATCAAATTATTGGGTTCAAGCTGATGATCTAATCACCATTACTAAAAACCTCTGAAACCCTAGCAATGGGAGTAGTAATCGAATCCGAATTCTGGGAACCAAACCAATCAATATGCATTTTCTTATTCATCTTCTGCGTCTTGTCAATCTTCCTTTTGCCCACCAAACCCGCCGCGAATGTCTTGGATCACGCGCCTCCCGGCGCGTTTCTCCGTTTCCAGCGGAAGTTTCTCCTCCTCTACGCTCTCTCCTCAGGTCACTTCAGTTTTTCTGCATTTTATTAAATCAGTGTTTTTTTTTCTAATATATTTTGCTGACTTTGTGTGTGTGTGTTGGTTGCTGTGTAAATAGTGATGGAGGGTTTGTGGGCTGTGTTTGGAGAGTACGAGTTTGCATATTATCGACTCAGTAAAGAGCAAATGGTTACGTTTTTATCGGTTGGATACGCCGCGTCTCTATCAATTGGGAGCTTTCTTGGAATGATTTCTGATTTAGTGTGAGTAATGCATAGTACTTATGCATATTTTCTCATTTAGTATGTGTGATTTAGGTTCGATACCCATTTCTTTTCGCTTGGTAGTTAATTGAATAAATGCTCCACTCGCCAACGTTTACTAGATACTTTCCTCCGTTTCGAAATAGCCGTCGTTTAAAGTTTCGGCAAATGTATTAAGAAAGTTAATGTTTCTGTTTTTATTAATTACTGTCGCCACTTTTGTAGATTAATGTTTGATCGGATTTAGGATTGATGGGGGCAAATATGGAAAATTAAACAAATTCTCGAAAGGGATGGTTAATTTGAAAACGGAGGGAGTAGATCTTTTACAATGTTTACTAATTGAATTTTATTTTTATATGCTTCAGTAGTAAAATGCGTTGGTTTACTCAACAAATTTATTTGTTATAGTTCTTCTTGAAAGGCTCGTTTTGCATTTGATAAAGAGTGTTAAAGTTATCACATTTTTTTTTGGTGCAGAGGTCATAAGAAACTTTGTTTGTTGTTTTACTTGCTACACTTGTTCGTGAGCATATCGAAGATAGTTATTGGAACTCCGACTATTTGGTTTACAAGCATCTTTCTTGCACTGGCTTCTTCAATATTTTTCTTCAGTTTCGAGTCGTGGATGGTAATCGAGCATGACAAGGTTGGTTTTGAGCGCGTAGTAATCTCTTGATATTGCATTAATTATCGTCGGCATTTATATACTTGTTGACCTTTTTTTTTGCAGCTAGGTCAACGGCAAGATTCACTGAACGATATGTTTTGGCTGATGACTTTCTTCGAGTCCGCTTCTTTCATTAGCAGCCAGGTTCTTGCAAATTATTTCGTTGATGGTAATGTGTTCAAAAACGTTAAATCTGTGTGGAGTGGAGCTTCGGTTCTGGCTTTTGTCGGTGTTTTGTTTGTTACTCGAGGTTGGAAAGAAGCCCGACAAACGGCAGCTTTGAAGGATTATCACGTTTCATTGCGTAGGCATGCTACTAGTGGTATGTGTTTCATATGTTAACATATGCAAAGAACCGAGTATTCGTTTGAAGCTCTTCTACTTGTCTATAAAGTTTTGAAATATGGAGGTGAATAACATTATTATTCCGATCTTATAGATAAAAGGATATGGATGTTATCATGGGCACAAGCCTGTGTACACTTTTCTGTTGCAGCGTTTTGGATTCTGTGGGCCCCAACTATAGTGGTAAGATTTTGAAGAGAACAATTTTTTCGTCTGATTTTTCCCCCTCTCTCGTATGCATTTATGATTCTTTTACTTATTCGCTTTTGGACTTGGAGTCAATGGAGAGAAGGATGATTCTAAGGAATCTTTCGAAGAGTTGACCTTTATTATTCGAGCCAACTGCTTTATATTAAACCGAAACCCGAAACCGGAAGACTTGGAGCCAACTGCTTTTGTTATTATTCGAGCCCGTATTATTGCAAATTAGACGTTATTCGACTTTGTCTGATCAACGCATTGAGTTCGCATGGTGTAGATGCTTCTTAAAGATAGAACCTGTGTATACGGTCTCTCCATTGATTCCCTATATATTGCGATAATATTGTACTCTAATGATTTACAATCCATTTTCTCAACACTTGGCAATATTCTATCTTATTTGAATTTTCTTTTGCATCATTTCTCTTGTTACTATTATTTCGACATCTAATAATAATATATTTGGACCTCGTAATATGATGTAGGCCGATGGAAGAGAGGCGTCATTGGGATTGATATATCCGTGTTTGCTGGGCTCCAAGATGCTTGGCAGTACTGTATTCCCATGGTTCTTTCATGGCCCGTTAGTTATTCGTATAGAGGAATATCTAATGTACGCCTTTATTTTAATGGGTTTGGCTTTGTCGATCGTTGCCTATGATTATCAGGTCTGAAACTGCTCAAATCATTAATCACTCGAGTACTATTTGCTTAATATTCGTCTAAATTTTTAATATTATTATTCTCAGGAAATAGGAGTTCTTGTGGCACTATTCTGCTTATTCCAGGCTTGTGTGGGCTTGGTTTTGCCGTCTCTAGCCAGAATGAGAACCATGTAATTATTTCTTCATATTTTTCAGTTATGAATCACCGTTTTATTAGGATAGGAAGATTCTGGTAATTTTTGGTAAATTTTTATTATTTTATTATCTCCGAATTCTGTAGGTATGTGCCGAATGAAATTCGCGGAGGAATAATGAGCCTATCCCTTGCGCCAGCAAATGCAGCTGTCGTGTTATTTCTGTTTCTGGTAAATTCTGCTTACCTCGTTTCAGAGATTTGTATTTGCTGGAGCTAAATAGTACAAAAAATTATCTAGGACATAACAATACTACACTACTTGAAAAATAACAATGTCCGTTTACGTGCTTTTTTATTGGGTCCAATATTTTTTAAATACTTGAAAACGTGTGATAAATTATGGTTTCTCGTTGATGTTGCAGAGGAGTTATCAGTACATTGGGAATTCAACTATAATTTCATTTGCGGCGCTCGGGCTATTCTCTTGTGCTGGATGCATGTATATTTTCAAGAAATGGGGAAAGCAACTCCACCAAAGTAGCCACCGCTTGTGATCTATACACCCGTTTTTTTCTCAGAAGTTCATTCGATCAGAGCCGTTCATTTTGGGGAATCTATTCCTGGCTCGATCAACGGCTGATCACAAGCGGTGATGAATGGCTCTACTCGTGCACGGGAAAGAAAGAAAGTCGGAGGTAATCAAAGCTGCTAAAATAAATTTTCCATGGGTTATCGAACTTTTTTGTGAGAATTTATCGGAGATGGTTATAAGCTTACGTGTTGATTAACAAGTCATCAATTTTGTCATGTTGATTAAGAAAATATATATTATATAATTAGGGAAATTAGTTTCAGGTCTTGGTTTATATATCGGTTTCTGTTTCGGTTTTCGGTTTCGGTTTTGTTTGGTTGTTTGAAGGTAGATGTAGAAATGAAATAGTATAATTAGGATAAACCTGAACACTAGAGTGCGACATTGGGGTCAAC